AAAAATAAAAAATCAGTATATATAAACATAGCTAGTTTTATACAACCTCCAGTCAAGTGCCATTAGTGGGTGGCTTCTTACTCATGTACTCGTGTATTATATGTAACCCTTATCAAATATGCTAATTGTGCATAATTGTACAGATTGTATGTATTATTGTGTAAATAAAAAAAAAAAGTTGTAAAAAAATGCATTATATGAGTACATATTACAGGTAAAAATATGATTGACGATTTACAAAGAAGTGTTGTGGTGAGAATGGGAAAAAATATCAAATAACACTATATTTTTATTCTCAGGCAATAATCTACCTTCATATTTTATTGCACGCAGCCGTTATGAAAATACGATGAAAAAATCAACAAATAAAATAGAAAGAGAAAAATCTGTGAACCAAAAAGTTATCGAGGTCCAAATAACCTCGTTAATAATTTTCAAGAGCCATTTCCGGTTATAAGGGTCGAGACGAAACTGTCGCGGTGGAATTCATCAATTTCGCGATCATAATCAAACTTCCCTCCTCGATACGATGTAATTCCTCTCTTTTGACCTCTTCTCTGCTCATTCCTTCAATTCTGTTTGTTTATTATATATATAGGTATATACAAAATATAAATTTATTTATATTTATTCAGTCATTATTATTCAGGTTGATGTAATAACAATAATAATTATTATTATTATAATATATTATATTGACTATACTGTTCACGATGAATACTACAAGGACATGATTAAATCGTAAATGTTATAAATGTACGCAAAAAATAATTGATTTCAACAAGGTTTTTGAAAGAAAAAAMTCTTGTGGACAGGAGCACGAAGTAAACGGAAACGCTTGACTATTCGGCACCTGACAGTTTTAAATGAAATTAAAACTTACTTTAAAAAGAAACCCAGACCGAATTTCCATTTTTTTTTTTTTTTTTTGCAATAAAATTATTACTTTGACATCATATTGTGGGATTGGAATAAAAATAATACTAGGCGCTTTAAAGATAAGTCGTTTGGAAATAAAATTCAAAAGCAAAGCTTC